TAGCGTTCTCGTTACTTACTCGTGGTTAAATTAATTTCGTAGGGATTAAAAATCAGGTTGACCTGTGGTCGTAGATTAAAAATAACCATAGTACAGCTAAATTTATCGTGTTAAATAATTCACTATAATCCTATGCTTAAAATGTATTTTCTTGTGGCTGCCTGATAGCAACCTGTAAATCTGGCGTGACAGTGAACGTGTTAATAAGTAAATGTTGTTCAAATTACGTACATTATTTTTAGACTATTAGGTATACATAAATGCCCCGATTTGTGCAATTTGCTTTGTATATTATGCATTAAAAGTTTTCCCACGTGCTTGTCGTGCAGTACCGGCCCAATTCTTTTTTAATTTTTTCCTATAATTCAAGTCGTTAGGTTTTTCTTCTTTGTTTTTCTGCAGAAAAATGTTCGAAATTAAACATAAAAAAGGAAATTGGACGCAGAACGATATGAATGCGGCTTTGAAAATGGTACTGGAAAACAAAATGAGTCAAAGGGAGGCCGCTGAAATTTTCCACGTTCCAAAAAGCACGATAGGAGACCGATTTAAAGCAATTCGAGAAGGCGAGACCGTAAATTTGACACCGCAAATGGGTAGATTTAAAAAAACTTTTACGGGGGAATTCGAAAGTCAATTAGTTTGTTATATGAAAGATCAAGATGCCAAATTTATGCCATTAAGTAAAACTGAATTTTTGAAATTGGCATACGATTTGGCTGAACATTTAAAATTACCACATCAATTTAATAAACTGCGGATACGCAGTTTTATTATGACTTTATGGCGCGTCATCCGGAATTGTCTTTACGAGCACCAGAATCCACGAGTCTTCAAAGAGCGTTAGGCTTTACCTGTGATATTCGTAGATGTGCCTAAATAAAAGATCTATTCTATTTTTAAATGATTTTTGCTAACATTATTTATTACTTAGACCTTAAAATCTACCAACTAAGTAAAAAAACGCGAATTCGTATTTTTTTCGATTCTAGAATATAAGAAAATTTGAATAAAATACGCGACGAGAATTGGGGAGAAGCATAAGTTATACGCGTGAAAATATTCAATAATAAACGAACTAGGGATGAAGCTATTATTTCAGTACACGATGCACTGACTCTAGTATTTACTAAAATTCAAAAATTCTCGTATAAATTCCGAAAATAGATTATTAATTACGGTAAACTAGTGAGACGGTTTAATCAAGGGTGGGCATACTGCACGAGTGTAGTACACTCGTTCCAAACCAGCTCACAATATACAATAATAAATCAACTAACTACTTAACATGCAATTCATGCAAATTCCTTGGATGGTAAATTATTAGTAAACAAAATTCAATATCAGAGAAAATATATGAAAAATACTGAAAGAAAAATTTCAAATCAATTTCAATTGCTGTAACGAAAAAGCAACCTCTCAACCTCTCAATTTCAATATCCTATTCGACAAGTCTGAAGAACAACGATGACTAAAATTCAAATGTTTATTTCCCTAAACCTTCAAAATAATTTCGAAATATTTTATTCGAAGCGGAGTATTCCAAGTCAGTATCGATAATTGAAGAAATTATTTGATTGTATTTAAAAGAACCGAAAGGAGAATATTTAAAGTCTGATATTAAATGTCTAGCAAGTACCAGTAATTGGTAAAATGATTTATATTTGTTTTAAAAGGAAAATTTCTAATAGGTATTAGTTAAAATGAATTATTATTCAGTCTATTGTATTGAAATTCAATTCGACCCTTTAGTTTGAAATGATTTATAAACACATAATTCCAGTATAAAGGGTGAATGATTTCGCGGAGCCTCCGCGGGTCCTTATATACCTGCGGTACCCCCTCCCCAAAGTCATTAGCAAAGTCGGGCGGAAAATTTTCGTGGGATATTTTCGCGAGAGATTTCCGTTATCCTAACACGGTGTAATTTATCAATTTTCACAATTTTGTTATAAATTTATACTTCCGACAATTTTTCAAAATATGCCGCGAAGTGTCTAGGGCCCAGTATAAAGGGTGAATGATTTCGCGGAGCCTCCGTGGGTCCTTATATACCTGCGGTACCCCCTCCCCAAAGTCATTAGCAAAGTCGGGCGGAAAATTTTCGCGGGATATTTTCGCGGGAGATTTCCGTTATCCTAACACGGTGTAATTTATCAATTTTCATAATTTTGTTATAAATTTATACTTCCGACAATTTTTTATGACATTGCATATAACAATTTATACGTTTTTACAATATTCTTCAATGGAAACATAGGTTTTAGCGTTCTCGTTACTTACTCGTGGTTAAATTAATTTCGTAGGGATTAAAAATCAGGTTGACCTGTGGTCGTAGATTAAAAATAACCATAGTACAGCTAAATTTATCGTGTTAAATAATTCTTTTTACACGAATGAAAGATGTATTCAACGTTTGTTTGTTATAATATCGCGAAATGAATTATTTGTTCAGTTCTGTGCATTTTCTCTACAGTTCAACCTAATTTACTTAAATTTACATTGCGAGACAGTATACTGTAACAAGTAGTAACAAGCAAACGTTGAATAAATTCCTAATTCGTATTAAAAAAATTATTTAACACAATAATTTCAGCTTTATTATGATTATTCTTGATAAATGACCACAGGTCAACTTGATTTTTAATCGTTATAATCTTTAAATTCAGTGTGAATAGAGAAAATGTGTAATATAATTCATTTCACGATATTATAACAAACAAACGTTGAATACATTAATTGGCAACCAAACGGTGGCTCTCCCTCTACATTCGACGGATAATGTGTACAGGTATTTAATGTAATTTTTTAGCAATTTGTTTTTGTATTTCATCCAAAGCGATATATTGTGAAATTAAATTAATCACTCAATAAGTATTAACATCAGATTGTTTCCTCGATATGGCCATGGTGGTCATCAGTGACTGGAGTGCCTCAAATGTTTAGAATAATTAAAATAAAATAAATGTTGTCAACTAAAAATTTTGAACGTCATAGCAAGCTAGACATTATTTTCAATTGAAAAAAAAAAATTATAAAGCATAATACTATAATCCTATGCTTAAAATGTATTTTCTTGTGGCCGCCTAACAGCAACCTGTAAATCTGGCGTGACAGTGAACGTGTTAATAAGTAAATGTTGTTCAAATTATATCGTGTTTGATATCATTTTCATCAGAAAAATCTCACCAACATGTTAAAAAAAATTTCAGATGAAAAAAAGTAAAATTAAAGAAATTATATTCTTCTATTATGATTTGTCGAGCCGTGTAATCTCGTAAAGGAAACCGACTGGTGTAGCGTTACACACTTAACTGACTGCGAGCGAGATAACATGGGCGCAGCAATAACGCAGCGTAGGCGTAGGACCATCTATACTGTCACTTGTAGAATCCAAACTTACTGACTCTGTAGAGAATTTACTGTAACGCTAAAAACTTGTTAAAATTTTCATTTCTACGCTATCCGATTTCGTCTTTTTGTTCAGAATGTTGGGTTACGAGGAATTGCGAGTGACTGTAAACTTTTCGGTAGATAGCAATAGAAGTTGTACCGACAGGAAGGCTCCTTACAGGCGGTCCCTTCGAATGTTCGCCGAGAATTCTGGACATTCGTATCCTCTGACGGACAATTAAAGAGCAGGGATGCCTCTATATTGTGACCTTTGTCGAAACTACGAGAATTTACTCTGTTGTGTAGTTGTAATGGATGCGAGGGATCGTGTAAGTTTCGATTATGAGGGGGTGTATTATGGAGTGTTGAGCACCGATCGGTACTGTACGACAATTTTTCGTTCGCTGCAAATTACAACTTTTTTATTTCTACGAATTATTTATCTTTATAAGAAAATTTAAGAAAAACGATTTGTCCCCTTTTATTAAGCACCGTTTGTACTATCAAGTACTTTTTTGAAATTTCATTTTTACCAACATTAGCCCAAGTTATAGTATAAAAACTTGGAGTGGCCGGTACTGCACGACTCTCCCCTATATTATACTTTATCCGGTAGCGATAACAAATTGATGTTTAAACCTTTAAAAACAAATATCTAAAAAAAAAAGAACATTTCACTTACGTCGCTTTGCCTTAGAATCACACAATTATGATTGCACTTTTTTGGAAAAATAATCAGAAACAAGGTTATACTTACGAACAGTTGATTTCATTGAGGATTTGAATCATTTCGTTCATGTAGTTACGTTGATCCTTACGGGAGCACATGTTTGGAGCACTATTTCGAACACGTTCACCGATAATTTAGTATTTATTTCTTAAAAAAATGGAAATGAGGGGATGGTTTCGTATAAACGTTTAATTTAGCACATGTTTGGATGTCAAATGGAGAAGCAACAAAAGCACAACGGCACAATCGCGACTGATTTCAATTCAACGAAAGTTACAATTGCAATTTTACAATTAGAAATTGCTAGGGGAAAAAAAAAGAGGATCTTGAATCGTTCAGTTGGTAGACGCTATTCTATTGGCAGACAGCAATTTGCTGATGAGAAGCACGAAACGCCGTGGAAACAGCGTAGACAATAAGGGCTTGAGAAGCGGGAAGGGGGAAGTGGAAGAAAAGCAGCAATTCTAGCAATGAGAATGTGCTTGACGCTGAAAGAGAACTATCATCTAGGATGAACGAGCGAAATGTTCCTGGACATCTTCGTTGCTGTTCGATTCGACGTCTATTGCTTCTCTTACGCTATTTTTCTTCCAAATCGTTCAAACAAACCGTCGATTAAAAAGAATAACAAAACACTTTATTCAAGAGACAATGACAAAAATGACAAGTCACAAAAAATCCAAAGCATATCCTTTATAATCAACAACATCATCGATGTTCCTTTTTTTAAAGGATCTGCTTTGCTAAGAATCATTGAAAAAAAAATCACACTACAAAATAAATAGACCACTTCTCTAAAAAAAAGAGAAGGACGAAAGCAGACCTACAAAAGAGAAATAAAAATAATTAAAAAGAAAAGTTTAAAAAAGGAAAATTGCTAATAAATGATCGGGGGTTGCAGATGCCTATTCGCAATCAGAGTTTCCGGCGCGATAACTTGCTGATTGGGTATGTAGTCTTGTTTCCTGGCCAAGTATCTCACACCCCCGATAGTCCTGGCTTCGTGGATATTCGGTTGGCTATAGTACATCCCCTGGTAAGCCATCTTGCCCTCCGCCATTTGTGTATTCATCATATTATTCATATTTTCGTTTGCATCGCCACCTGCTCTATCGAAACCTCCTTTATTCTGTTCGATCTTCTGCGTCGACCCAAGGTCTCCTTCGCCATTGTTGCTGGATATATTCTTCGCGTTCTGATAGTACTGTTGCATCTGCTGATAGTGCTGAGGATAGCTCCCGTCGAACCTGAACGGCATCACGGTTCCACGAGCCATCATTGGGTTCTTCTCGTTGTAAGGAATCACGTTTGTCGAATTCTGAAACTGTTGCTGCGAATACATCTGTTGCTGGTCCACAGCCACGGTACCATTCTCCCTCTCTGCTTGCACGCTGTAACAGTTTCTCAGATTATTTTGCTTCTGTCTAGGGTACTCCCTCGTGTATTCTTGCTCCATCCTTTTCAGATTGGACAATCTTCGAGGAGGGGGATTGTCTGGGTTCCTGGAGTTCTCCAAACCGTTTGCAGACATTATTTTAGCAGGCGGTTGCATGCCAGCTGTGATCAATCGTTGCTGGAATTCGGCTTCTAGATCGTCACGTTCTTGCATTCCGTTTAATTTTGCCGTGCATCTTTTCGAACTCATATTCGCTAGGTATTCCAAGCCTTTTCTGTCCTCTGCCGACACTCTGAGCTCTTCTAACTGCCTCTTCGCCTCGCTTGGATCTTGGAGCCCGTTGTTCCTTCTCTGTGGACGAACTTCGTTCTTGTACTGGCGCAATTTTAATAAGCTAGATGGCTCACTCGATGGTCTGTTGTCGTTGTAGACTGGCATATTAGTAGAACGCGCCTGTTCCAGATTTTTTGCTGGAATATTCTGATAGTACTGTTGATATTGCTGCATTTGTGGATGGAACTGTTGCTGATAAGGATGCTGATGAGTATATTGATATTGTGGAACATTCTGCTGATAGTTGACGCGTTTCTCTGGCTCGTTAACGTTACCAGGATTAGAAACAGCATAAGGTTGAGAGTACATGTTGCTATAGTGTTGCTGAGCTGGCTGCTGTGGTTGCCAATTATGATTCTGCTGCTGTTGCTGTTGCTGTTGCCGTTGCCAATGTTGATAATTCTGTTGATTCATAGCTTGCACTGGAACCTGCTGAGGAGACATTTCGTTCATCCTCTGCTGTTGCTGCTGTTGCTGCATCAATTCCATTTGCTGGGCTTCACGTTCTTTTCTTCTCTGCTCCTGCACTCTCTCTATTTCTTGATAAGACAATCTTTGAGGTGTAAGATGAACCATCCATTCAGGCTTCTCATCTTCCTGTTTCCTTTTCCGAGGCATAGGCACTGGTCTCTTGCCTTCCGAAGCGTCCGGTTGCTGTTTCCGCTCCAGATAATCTAAGAATTTTCGTTGCTCGTTCAGTAAACCGTCGAATTGCCTCTTCATAATGTCCATGGGTATTCCTTGCTGCTTCATGGCGGCCAGCAATTTTTCCTGATCTCGAATCATTCCAACAGTGAACTTTGAAGCTCTATTCTCGAACTGAGCGTTTCGATTCTCTATGGGTTGCTGAATATTTGGTTGAGGTATAGATTGTTGAAAGTTTTGTTGCTGAATAATCGGTTGCTGATTAATTGCTTGTTGATTAGAGCTCAGCTGTTGATTAAATCCACCTGCTGGCTGATTATTGTACACCACATTCTGCTGTCTTTGCATCGGCATGTTCCCCTGGCCAGGATTCCTGTACATCTGCTGATGCTGGTGCACAGGCTGGTGCTGATACTGAGGCAAGAACTGCTGCTGTTGCTGCTGACTCTGCATTCTATACTGTGGCTGATTACCACCTACCACCTCGACATTGTAAGCCTTCAGCTGAGCCTTGGCATTGGAGTACTCAGACACCTGATTATTCCTAGACCATGCACTCTGAGGATTCGTCGAATAGTCCAAGTCTCTTTGATACATCGGATGATTCATCATCCTCGAATTTCTTATCTGATTCGCTGTTACACCCTGAGGGGAAGTCGTGCCTTGGCTAGAAAAATGCCTTCCAAACTGCTGAGAAGTATTAGTGTAAGGAGATCCTTGATTATTCTCCATCTGTTGCTGACCATTTATCATCTGCATCTGATAGTTCGTCGCTTTCTGCTGCATCTGCTGCTGTTGGACCATATTCTGCTGCATCTGCTGGTAGATCTGCTGAGGACTCTGCTGAGTTACATCGCCGTGAGTGGAATATTGATTGTGAACATGCTGAGGATTGACGTTAGCCTGACTCAACGCAACAGGCTCCACAGAAGGCTGAGACTGAGGATGTCCTTGCCTATTGATCATAATTTTTCTGTAAAACGCTGCATTTCGACCACCAACCGGTTGCTTGTCGTAGTCAACGTCGCTTCCATTTATCTGATCCTCGTTCTTCCCTTGTCCTTGATCCATTATCGGAACCTGTTGAGCACCTGACTGAGACGCCGGTGCAATTTGAGCAGGATTTTGAAGCGTCGCGTGAAGATTCTTTCGCGGGGAATAATCCCTCGATCCGTGAGGAACGAAAGGACGATGTGATTGGGGCGCGTTCAGAGGGACCTGTTGAGGCAACACGCACTCCGAGTGAGGATTCATCTGACCGATCTGATGGATCGGCTGCTGAGACGCAACCTGTTGCTGACTCGCGCTCTGCGTGCCCTGCTGCAAACGATTCATTTGTACTTTAATGCGCCGCCAAAGTTGGATTACTTGGAGATCGGATTCGAGACCCTAACTCCAGCGGAGTAATTGGGGAAATCTTCGGGGGATATTCTGTTAACGAAGCGCTCTAACAACGAACAAACTCTATTTGTCAGTGATGGAAACTGTCGCACGAATGGATGTTGGAAACGGGTATTCAGACAGTTACCGTTATTTCTTTCGTGGCGGATACGTCGCTGCCAACTGTCGCACGAATGGATGTTGGAAACGGGTATTCAGACAGTTACCGTTATTTCTTTCGTGGCGGGTACGTCGCTGCCAACAACTCCTTCAGATTTTAGTTTCCGTTCTTTTGTCTCTCCCCGGGTTAAGACTTGCCTTCGTCCTCGAGTAGCCTAAGAAGCGCGCATGTGGCATCCAGGTTCGCACGAGGACGAACGGCCCCGCTTTCTACAAATTTTCCGTTTCCACCACTTTCTTTACTTCTCCCTTTATCTATCTCTACTCCTGTCTCCCTGTCCTAACAATATAAAAACCCAGTATGCCTACACCTCCGGTCAGTTTTTTCCTTTACTAGCCATCGCGACGTACCCGGCGGACCACTGCCGCAGGAACAATTAACCAATAAAACGATTGTATTTTCCGGGCAAATTGTACGCCAACCATAGCGCTTAGATCTTAATAAATTGAGGTGAAAACAGTGCAACGGCGTTCCTCGCCCAACTCACTTTCAATTCCTCGTGAAATTTTGAAACTATTTTATGTTTTGATAATTCACGATACTTTTCGAAATATTTTATTTAGAAAGAAATTGGACAATTCTAACCTAACAGTAATAATAAAAAATAAAATGAAATAAAATTGAACATGAACTAGAAAATTGCAACTAAAATTGAGATTGCCGTTAAGAAGGAATACAGAAGAGAAAGGCAGAGAATGTTCTGAATAAATGAAGAACAGTCTGAAGCTTAAAGCGTTAGACCACCTCTAAATTTTGAAAAAATCGAATTCTCTTTTTTTGCTTAAAGGGTATAGCAGGATAAAATGGTCAAAAATGCCCTTGAACCGATTTTACTTGGCATTGCACCATTCGATAGCTTACCAAAAGAAACCATCGCACACGAAGTTTCAACCCCGTAACTCAACCGGGAGAGTAGTTACGGGGTAAATACGAATTATCGATTTTTACCACATTTTCCCTATTTAACGGTATGCAAAAATTCTGGAATATTGTAGATATGGTTGTTTATGGCTGTGATTTTTTTCAGATTTTTTCGTTGCAAATCCTAAGTGCAAAAATGAAAAACGCAAAAAAATGTCGGAAAATGCAGATTTCGGGTTGAAGTTTTCGATTCACTAAATTTTTACTTTTACAGTAGCTAGATACTAGTATGTCTATTGTCCTCAATTTTTTTCCTCATTCATACATTACTCTGTCGAATGCACAGACATTAAGAATTACATAATACACTAACTGTATCGAGGAAATGCAAAAATTAAAAGTATTCAAAATCTTCGATTTTTTTAACTACAGCACAGCCTTTCGAAAAATCTGAAAAAAATTGAGTAGAATAGACATACTAATATCTAACTACTGTAAAAGTAAAAATCTAATGAATCGGAAACTTCAACCCGAAATCTGCATTTTCCGACATTTTTTTGCGTTTTTCATGTTTGCACTTAGGATTTGCAACGAAAAAATCTGAAAAAAATCACAGCCATAAACAACCATGTCTACAATGTTCTAGAATTTTCTTAGAATTTTTTCGTACCGTTAAATAGGGAAAATGTGGTAAAAATCGATAATTCATATTTACCCCGTAACTACCCTCCCGGTTGAGTTACGGGGTTGAAACTTCGTGTACGATGGTTTCTTTTGGTAAGCTATCGAATGGTGCAATTTCAGGTAAAATCGGTTCAAAGGCACTTTTGACTACTTTATCCTGCTGTACACTTTATAGTTTATGTACTTCTTTAGTAATTGGCTGAAGTAATGTTGAAGTCAAACCGTGTGACAGCAGAGGACAGTACAGAAAAGAAACATCGGTTCGGCTGTGCGGCTGTAATTAATTTAATTAAAGACTGAAACTAAATGGAAAAAATACGTTCACATATAATACAACGAATCTCTTATGAAAAGTTTTCGGTTAAGTCAATTATCCTCTTAAAAAAAAGAATGTCAAAGTTAGGTATCATTTTCAGACCTAAGGGGTGGGCTAACTTCTTAAAAGTTTCCTGAGATAAGATCAAATCTGTTCAATTTACTTGTTGCTGCTGACGCTGTTGCAGTAGTTGCGCAACAACAGCAGCGTCACCTTGGCCATTGTCCCTGCGTTGTTCAGGTTGCGCATCCATATACATGATCCCCGACTGTTTAGGATCTTGCTGAGCAATTAAAGCGCCGATTGGCTCTGGAGGGAATGGCGGAGGGTTTTCCAACTTTTTGATTTTCTCCGCTGGGAAATACTTCAGTCTAGGCGACGAACACGACCGAAAGCTCCTGTCCTGGGAGCTAAATCTGGTCTTTGGCAGGCAAACGTCTACAGCTTTGCTAACCATCTTCGTGGAATTATCCTCCGTAACGAAATTGTGCGTCAACGGTAGTTTCTCCGGCTTTTGTTGCCTTTGTTGCGCGGTGATCGGTCTCGAATGCAAGCTGATGGCACTTGGACGTCTGGACGATGTCGTCTTCTGTCTGCCGTTTCTGTCCGCTGAAGCTTTCCTGCGAAGGGAAACTTGAGGATTTTGGATTTCGGTTACGAAGAGAATATTTAGGGTAAGACTGAAAGTTATTGTATCTGGAGGTTTCTGGAAAACTAAGTCATAGAGTCTGATAGGCTCCTATTGTTTACTTGTGTAATAAAATTATTTAAATATGTAGGAACCGATGGAAAAATTTCCGGGTCCTTGGGCTCGGCAAGCCGAGGCTTTGCGCACTACGCCAACTACCACTAACCATTTTGCCATTTATTATTACATTATGCTATGCTACGCTTCCTGTCCTGGGACATCTGACGTGTTGGGGTGAGGGGTTGGGTGATTTCTTCGAACATGGGTTTTGGGGGTTTGATCATGAGATCTGGTGTCCCTCGCTATTTTCCCTTGTCGGTTTCCTATTTGAGTATGGAGGCCCGATACTACATATGTTTACTTTGCTTTCGAAAATTTTTTGACACTTTTTACCTACGGGACTATAATTTAGTTGATACAGCGGAAGAATTCGTAGAAGGAATTTTGAATTTCTCGAGTACTGCTCAAAATATTGAAAAAAAACTATGATTTAACCATAATAACCCTACAGGTTAACCCTAAATTTGACGTTATTTCTGTGTGATGTTTCGAATGTATTTTTCTTTTTTTTTTTAATAGATGTGCTAGTTTGGAAATAAATTATCAAGCAATGGACGGCGTACCTCTTGTTCATTATTGATAAGAATTTTGCGGGAATTTTTTTCTGAAACGTTTAGTGGAACATCATCTAGAATAGGCCAGGTAATTTTCTAGCACGGATTTTGCATCACCGCCAGGACGAATGGGAAAACTCTGAACAGCTGAGATCTCGGTAAGACTTGAAGATAGCCTTATGTAGTTACCATGGATACGATTTACAAATTGTTCTGTTCGACTTCAAATCGTTACTTGTTTCAATTAAAAAGTATATAAGTTATCTCAAGATAATTTGTCCATTGTCAAAGATCGAGCGAGAAGGTAATAAAGAGAAAGAGCCATGCGAATGCAGTTTTACTATTTTTATTGTACATAATGATTACAAAGAGAAGCACGCGCTAAAGCGCGATCTTGTATTCGTTATCTTGACATGGTTTTCGTTCATCAGTGTCAATATATATAATTTAACTTTGCTTATAATATACACTTGAAATTTCCATCTCGAACGTGATACTAGCAGATCAGCGATTTCCTCATCGCAACCGTACCAAAATCTTGAACAACGTGACTTGATTCATAAAAAAAAAAAAAAAATCACAGTAAAAAATGTGTGGTACTTGTTTTCTATTGCGAACAACACGGTAAAATACTGAAACGCATCGTATACACGTTCAACTCCTTAATCCATAGAATATAAAAGAAAAGCGAAAACGAATTACCGCAACAAATTACCCTGCTATTCTTTCATTCTGCGAATTCACACATTTTCAGGGGGAGGAAAATATGTGCCCAAAGAAAATCACTCGAAGTACGAGATAATTTGCTCGTGTTAATCGGTTCGAGACTAAATTTACACGAATTCGAAAATTGGCACTGACAAATCAACGTTATCCTCGATTAAACCTCGGTCTAGTGTAGGAATAATTAGCTCGTTTTTAATAATACGTCAATTCAGGAAAGTCTCAGCAGGGAATATACGTCAAAATCGATAATTTTCCAATTCCTTGAACGATTCCCAATCAGATTTCGACAAATATCGTGTTCTCGTGTACAAAAATTGAGGGTGACACACTTCCGAGCAACGTCAAATTCGGGATAAAAGTCCTATCGAGTTTCTCTCGTCGCAAATTCTGTACTACTTCGAAGCAGATAAATTAGTCAATAATCGAGAGTTTAGTCAAATTAAGGGTTAATTCGTATTTTTCAAAGTATTCGTCCTCGATCAGGATATCTCCTCTTCGATCTGCAGATTCTTCGAAGAGAATGTTCGAAAATTTCTTCTTTTTTTTCGTCAATTTTTAATATTTTCCTCACGCATCCGTCCGTCGTTCTCGTTAAATTCCACCGAATTTCGCCACGAAACCGCCTTCGAAATCTTCAAATTCTTTTCAATGTTTCGCTAGCAAGGGGGATATGCCACTGTGTAAAGGAAAAAGAAAAACCAAAGAAATTGCGTTAACGATTAGTTACAAGATTTCCATTAAAATCGCGGTAAATTGGTAGCATTGCGCAATACTAACAGCAAACAGCTCTACAAGGCGAACACGGTGGTGGTGTAGGAGGTGGACAGGGCATGCAAGGGACCACTCTCTTGGTGCAAACGTACGCCACAGTTGGCGGTGGTGGCGGACAAGGTGGAGGTGGTGGTGCACACGTAACGATTACCTTTGGTGGACATGGAATGGCGCAACAGGGCGGACAAGGCGAACAAGGCCGTAGATAAACCTAATTTCCAGAGGAATTATTAACTTAGCTCAGCATTAACATAGCTATTGATGTATCAACTTAATGCAAATAAAATGTCGTTTTTTCAACAGCTAAAATTGAGAAGTTGACACCATATACTCAATTTTTATACACAATAGGAATCACGAGTCCAGAAGGAATTTGCTTTAGTGTACGTGTATTGGATAGTAAAAAAGTTCGTAATACAATTGTTGATAAATAATAGAGATATTCGTGTAATCTTTTTATATCAAGTTTAACCTCTTGACCTATGATTTCTTTTCTGATTGTGCATCTAAGCGTCAGCCATTTACTGTTTTAGTTACGTATCAGGTAACAGAAATAATTGTTTCCAGATTAATTACACGCCGTAATCCTCAGTCTTGCGAATTGAAACGAAAGTTAGGATTATAATTAATTTTTCTCATTAATACAACTACAATTTTTGAACAAAAAGATTATTCCTAAATGAGAACACCGTAAAAGCAGCAATTCTTTTTATTCAAAGACTAACGATATTTTAAATTTGGAATAATGAAACTAGTTAATCCTGATTAAATACATTATTTTTCCAAGTGACACAATGTACCTAAAGTTTCATTTGAGAAAACGACAGAAACGAAAAATCGATTCTCGTTCGATTCGTTTGTTGAAATAATGCCTATTATTCAAGCAACTTTAACGATTTTAAGTGACAGATTTTTTATTAACTCTTCCATTCACCGAACTTACTATAGTTTTAGTTGCTTGAGGGGGACACCGGGGTGGACAAGGTGGTCTGCATATAATTGTCGGTGGACAAGGTGGAGGGGGAGAACAGCATGGAGTACAGCAAGGCCGATTGGAGCACATAATTCTGGAGCACCCTTTGTATAAAAGAAAATTACGTTATTGTTCGGGCTAATGGCTTAATGAAAGCTTATTTTAATTGTGACGAGCTAATTGCTGCTCAATTTTCCATCGAATTTCGATATCTGCCGTGTTAACACGTAACCAACAATTTAGATTCATCTTTTAGCAGACGACCCATAACGAAATTCATATTTCATAATATTCCTTGTTACTGTCATCTTTGTAAAATTTTTCAAAATTACTCATTCTCAAAATTCAACACACTTTGCACAATTTTTCTTCAAATATCTATTCTCCAATGCTTGTACATCAAGCTTGAATTATCTAAATTCTGTTTTGGATCACGTTCGGCGAAATCGATCGACCGTTAATGAAGAAAATTTTACTTGATTACGGCGATGTTGGTACAGAGTCTGATTATGGGAAGTTAAACCGATATTTCCGTTGGACATCCATGAGCCTCTGCACTCTCGACGATCCCCTGACGATCGACCAGGCCCGATTTAACGAGAAACGACGGCATCGGTGTGCTTCCGTATCTGTTCGAGGTCTACCTGAAATTTAGCCGGTGAACGGACAAGAAATGGTTGGCTCTGTGACGAATTTGTTTCTTGTTTCGTTACCAAGACGATTCGATCTTCGACACTTTCGATCTTTTATTTCGCTCCCCTTATCAGCGGGAAAAAACACCGCTGTTTTCATTCTTCGTTGATAACATTCGAAAGTTCTTTTAATGTTCTCCAATTGAATTGCCTGCATAAATTCGATAAGACACTTGATGTATAATTTAATTAATGGGCCTATCGATTAACATCGACAACAAATAATCCTTAATTTACTCTTTGTCTTGCGTGTTATTCTGTTATTTATCTGTTTTCTCATTTTATTCTATTTCATTTTATTTCATTTATTCTTCTTTTCCTCTTCTTTGATTTTCTTCTCTATTTTGTACTGTACATTATACTACTGCTCTGTGTGAATTTCAACGCCTGTATACTAAAGGGTTCTTAAACCCGTTGATCAAATAAATAAATAAATAAATCAAACATCGAATTATCTCGTTTAAATGTAAAGGTCGTTCTTTCGGAATGGACGATAACTGGATAAGATTACAATTAACGAATAATTATAATTAACCGTAGTGAATAAAAGTAAAGCGGTATCTGTAACGATAAGATTGGTGTATCTTGAATTAAGATAAGAATCACAGGAAAGATCTTTGGAAATGCTTTATTCCCAATAACATGACGATTCTCTTTTTCGCAAATAATTGTTAAGTAACCGGTTTATTAAACCTTCGTAATACACCGAAATACAATTCGTGACAGTCTAAAGATGTAGTTGTGGAAAAAAAACGTCGGACGATCCTCCAGCAAGTGTACAAGGCACTTCTGTGCTTCGGGGAATGGAAACTCGACGGAGTGGTCGTTATAACACGCAGAATCCTGGACCATTCGGTGGTTGAGCAGGAATTCCGCGCTTGTTCATGCGACACGCGTGCTCTTCGAGGCGTTGAGCAGCCTTGTTCTCGTCCGGTTTCCCGTTACTCCAGAGACGTTCCGCTGCTGCACTTGCACGCGGCCATATTCTCGAGTGCACGTTGTTTCTATGAAATGAAAACGCCAAATTTCTCCGGTAGTTTACACTGTGCGAGTCAATTTTTCACGACACCGTGAATTTTCGAAAATCAAAATCTCGGATGCACGTTGTTTCTATGAAATGAAAACGCCAAATTTCTCCGGTAGTTTACACTGTGCGAGTCAATTTTTCACGATACCGCGAATTTTCGAAAATCAAAATATACGCTACCGGCCAAATGTTTGGAATCACTGTGCGTTACAAGTTATACAAAAATTTCCAGAATAAAGTTAGCAATTTTAAGAATATTTTAACCAATTTTTCCTCGTTTAAATCAATCGAAATAAGGTAAAATACTATCGATCTCCGCGACATCAATTTCAAATCTATAAAAAATTAACCGCGGATTCAATTTTACTAAACTTTCGGCCGGTAGTGTAGGTGGTATCTCAGCTAAGAACAAGCACCTAAATATCTCCTTTGTTTTTAACAGTATTAGAAATGTTTAACACTAATCGTACCGACACTTTATGTATACCTATTCTTATCGTAGGCGGTCAAATGACCGATTATGAGATAATCATATTTTTCCGAAAGGAATACAGGTGATTGTTAATTGAATATAGAAAACAACGCAGGAAATTTAAAACAACTTTAGATAATAATAAAAAAAATTACGTATTTACATTTTTATTTCCAACAAGAAGGGGGGAAAATAAATGCATGGTTTTAAATGAAATTTTGAAACCGGTCATTTGACCGGGCGTGGTACGTTTAGTGTTAAAGCACAATTTGAATGATTCCGAAAGCTGAATACCTTGGAAGGAAAATTTGTTCTCTACGGTCGTTTTTTTTTTAATTTTTTCAAAGTACATAACTGGTATTTTTTCGCAAGAAAGCATGTGTTTCCTTTTTTCTTGTATTTTGTAGGGGATGTTAAAATGTATTCTCAAGCATGTCTAAGTTATGATCCTGAGATGATCTTGAACAGCAAAAAATGATCAAATTGTAAGACAGTGTTAGGATGGTGTGTGATCTCACTCCAGACAGTGTCACGCCAGACAGTGAACGTGTTAATAAGTAAACGTTGTTCAAATTATATCGTGTTATATCGCAGCAATGACGCAGACCTAGGCGCAGGACCATCTATACTGACACTTGTAGAATCAAGGATGGTGTGTGATCTCACTCCAGACAGTGTCACGCCAGACAGTGAACGTGTTAATAAGTAAATGTTGTTCAAATTATATTGTGTTATATCGCAGCAATGACGCAGACCTAGGCGCAGGACCATCTATACTGACACTTGTAGAATCCAAACTGACTGACACTTGTAGAGAATTTACTGCACATATTTAAATGTAACGAAAGAAAAGTAGGAATATACGTTTTATTTAAACAAAATTTTTTTAAATTCCTTTGCACAAAATGTATTTAAAAAAATTCGAAAGAAAAAAAACGAACACAAGAAAAATTTTCTATTTACGATGCCTCTGTTTGAAAACCATTCAAACTGTCTTCAAAACATTTCTGATATCGTTAAAGATAAAGGAGATATTTAGGTGTTCGTTCTTAGCTGTGACACCCTGTACATTTCCAAAGAATATGATTTGCAAAATATTTGTATTTACAAAATACTAATTACCTGTCGACAAATTCTCCCCACATACAAGCCTCACCACCCAGCATCAAATTGGTGACATTCGAGGCTCCGTTGAACGATAACGGATCACACCTGTAAAACTTCAACCAGTCACCACCTCCAGCGATGTGATCCAGGTACCAACAGGCTGAAAGCAACACAGGATGTCCAGCCTTGACAACGTTCTCCAGCTTCTTCTGCCATAATCCTGTCCACACGTGTACCACCGTGGTGTTTGGCAGCACGACACCGTTCTCGAATACCTGTAAACGTGTAAATGTCAGTCGCGATAAGACTTCTTAAGGTGAGATTTTCCAAGCTAGGATTACTCGACACTTTCGCAGCCAGGACCACGCTTACCATAAGGCGCGTTAGGCGCGAGCTAGGACCTCACTCTCTACGAGGCCACATTTCAAAACCTTGCCTATTCCTCACAAATGACGATATAAGAAAGCTTAGTTATAGTTGCAAAATAAAATAGTTATTTTCAAATATTAAATTCGTGATATAAAGACAAGAGACCGCCGAAAACGGAAACGCCAAAGTGAATTTCATTAACTGAAATAGACTTGTTTTTTTGGCCTCTTTTGGAGTTCGAAGGCCTCCAAAAGTGTAGATAGGCCTCTGTTCGCAAACGGTCATTTTTTCACCTTTCCAAAACTGGAAGTCGAATATACAGGGTGAAAAACGAGCGTTAAAATATTTAATTATAGAGAAACATCGATAGTGCTAAATTCTTGTCACTTTATCCTACTTTTGTGCTTACTTGGATTCGAGAATGTTCTCTTTCACTTCGAAAAACTATCGCGTATGCGGGGTGGGTCACATAAAACAGGCCATCTAATTATCTTCTCTAGCTACGGTGGTACCAGAAAACTTTTGTGCGTAATTTAAATGGTCTCAAACGACGAATGAGGTGGAAAAAAATACAGGGTGGTCCACGCAACGTGTGCGCCGTTATAACTTCCAAAATATGCGTTGCACGAAAGAATGTTATATACAAAAGTTACATGGTTTAAAAGGGTACACTATTTAGTGCGTTAATTTTTTTTATAGGTGGCGGCGTTTCGGAGATTTGAAGGTCAACTTGGTTTTTTTAAACAGAATACTATATTTTTTATACCAAAATATGGTAGAGTATCGAATTTTAAGTAAAAAAGTATTGACCGTTATTAGCCCTAAACCTAATAGCTAACGAGTAATTTCACTTTATTACTTGAAAATTTTCTTCACGTAATATCAAGTTGGAGATTCAACCTTATCTGTGATATAACGTTGATTACCTTTTAAACCATGTAACTTCTGTATATAACATTCTTTCGTGCAACGCATATTTTGGAAGTTATAACGGTGCACACGTTGCGTGGACCACCCTGTATGTTTATATATTTTATACGTATATGTTTTTCTGCTGTGTGTTGTAACAGACATCGATGTACATTTAAAATGACGTTGAATTCTAACCCTTTGAACTCCAAGAATTTTTTGATACGACTGTATAGCAATTGTACCTTTGCAGTGAAACTTTTCAAAGTATAAAGATTTGTTAAGAAAACAGAAGATTTTTAATATTTAAGTTGCATTATTTTGATGATACAAAAAACCTGAATTTCACATTTTAAAGTTCTGCAGAGTAATTATGCATGTCGCCATAACAGCGCCTTTGGAGTGCAAAGGAGTAAAATATTCAATCAAATGTCAAACTTCCTCTCACTTTTTGCCATTTCTTATAGTCACACGGACAATTCAAAACCGTTGTAACTTTTGATACGTAGAAAATTTTGAGAAACGTTTCAAGCAAAAGTTACTTGCAATTAATTTACCGAGCACTGTAGAAATATACAAAACTTTACTCCACGTTCCATTCAAAAAAATTAAAATTACCTTCTGTGCCCCACGCTTGGAGTGAAAAACTATTTGGCTTGTTTTTTTTTTTTTGTTCGACGAAGTTTAAAAATAAAAATCATCTCGATACCGTTAATAGGTTCGCAGATACCAGCTTGTAACAGGTTTGGTGAAACACCCTGTACATTCTCTCTTTCTCTATCCATCTCGTTCAATTCAGACAAACCACGCAGACACTCTCAGAGCACATTCGGTCACGTCCATCCAAAACCTTGGGTGGTCATGCACTTTTCTTTCACACCGTAATCCCAAGCACTCGATCCAATCATTCTTCTTTGGCGCCTCTAACACCCGAGACTCGGTCACTCGCTATAAACACACGTACGCAATTTCCGTTCCTACAATTCAGATCTCACTTTTTCAAGGTTTCTCTCAACAATATTAGACGTTGAAACGAACTCTATCCGACTTTAGCGTATACCTTCAAAGTTTCATTTAACCCTTATGTCAATAACAATTGTCGTCTACTTTATCGTCCAATTTTAATAGCTTTCTGATAACGAAATTCTAAACTTGAGGCAAACACGGATAGGAAATGTGCGAAATAACAACGATCTGGCCGGATATTTAAATCTTTAAACCTGGAAGATCAAATATTTTAAGGGGGTCTTCTAGTGTGACGGCCGTTTTTTAAATAACGAAATTCTAAACTTGAGGCAAACACGGATAGGAAATGTGCGAAATAACAACGATCTGGCTGGATATTTAAATCTTTAAACCTGGAAGATCAAATATTTTAAGGGGGTCTTCTAGTGTGACGGCCGCTTTTTTTTCGGCCTCCTTTGCTAATTTATTAATTAAATATGGCTGCTGTGGAACACGTCAAACAGGAGCATGAAAAAAGAAAGTAGGTCCATGGCTGCCATGATTTGAGCTATTCTGCTTATCAGAAATAAAAAAATCCAATTGATTCTTATTTAGTATGCATGCTGCTATGGTCGGTAGTAGAATAAAAGAAAAATATTGAAAATTAAAAAACTGGCGGCACTTTGAAGGTACCGATTTTTTCGACTTTTTTTCGTCATTCAGAGGCTCTAAAAATCAGAAAAATATACATTTTGGCACAATTTTACTACCGACCATAGCCACACATGTTCTGAAGGCATGTGCAAAATTTGAGTTCGATTGGTTCAGTAGTTTCTGCCAGATCGTGGCAACCATTTCAGAAAACATGGTTCCGAGAAAAACGCGTTTAAAGTTTTCAGTGCAATTTACATTCTCCCTATCGCCGGCCATTGATGTGTCACACTAAACGAGCTATAACTTCGTTATTATTCTTAAAGAGTTGTACTTCCGATATATGCAAAAAAATAAAAATCGATTTTTTGAAACCGTCACACTAGAAGACCCCCTTAAGTGAGAATTATGCAAAAGGGTAACCGGTTATTGACATAAAGGTTAAAAGGAATGAAAACAGATCGCTCGTCGAAACAGTTTCCATTATGCTCGACGACCTTTTGCCATTTTTCTGGCAGCTTGCGAATATCTCATCGCGATCGAAACTCGGTGGTTCTGAATCATTCATTGTGAATCCTGTCGGCAAGAATTCATCTCTACACCGAGAAGTTCGTTCATGATTTGCGAAATGATTTACCTCCTGCCAAACGATCGTGCTGGCCTGTAGAGATTTCGTGATCTGGAGAACATTGCCGATGTACTCGCTCTCGAGGACCTCATAGTTCTTGGTTATGTTGCGCCTCTTCATGTACGCGGTGATCTCCGGATTGCTCATCCAGCAATCGAACGGCACCTCGTCGCCGCCCAGATGGACGTATTGATCCGGGAATACCTGCACGATCTCGGCAAACAAGTGGCGCAGGAACTCGTAGAGATTGGGATTCGTTGGGTTCATCGGTCCCAATTTACCATTGGGTCTTCCCTTTACATCTACTCGTACATATTTTCACAAATAACTAGATATTATTCCCTCAGTCGAGAATTCCGCGAGAATTGATTGCAGTAAGTGAGTCGTTAAATACGTTACACCTTCTTTAAAAAAAAAAATTTCTTTTGTTACCAACGTAAACTGACAACCAGCTGCTACTTTTCAACATAATCACCGAGTATCTGTAAACACCTGTCACGACGGGGAACCAACTTTCGAATTCCGCTCTCAAAAAATTTGCATCCGATTTCGCGTAACCATTTTAAGGTTGTCTCCTTCACTTCGTCATGCGTGCTAAAATTCTTCAAAGTCGTGTGTTTTTTCATTTGGGCAAACACATGGAAGTCACGTGGTGAGGGGTGTGGACTATAGGGTGGATGTTCTCGTTGAAATTTAGGCAACAGTTTCTCCGTCACAGTCGCTGAATGTGATTGACTATTGTCGCGGAGAAGGATCACTTTTCTACTGAGATTTCTAGGTGATTTGATTTTTTACGACTGTTCGCAGACGTTTTAACGTTTAACAATCAGCAGAAGAGTTGAGTGTTCTTCCCTTAGGCATCAATTCTTAATCGAAAATTGCGGGAGATGTAACTTACTTATTGACTCACCCTTAGAAGGGAACATCGCCGATTTTGATGAAGCTTTGTTACACGATAGTACTCGAAGAAATATTTGACACCTACTTTTTTTGTCACCAGTTGTCTACATTGGAAGAGTGAAAATCGCGCTCAAAGATAAGGGTAATAAAATTATTTACTATATTTTATTTTTCATATTTCTTGTGGAAAAATACTATCATCTATATGCTATAATACACTATCCCTTTATCTCTGATACATAAATATATTCACTACCTTTAACTTTCAGCACGATTTTCACCCCTTCACTGCCGACGATTGCCGATATAAAAAAATACGTGTGAAATACTTTTTTGAGATCCACTGTATACCAAAATTTCATGAAAATCGGTTCCCTTGTTAATTCAAGAGTAGGTGTATCTTCGTTCAAATAACGATAAAACAAAGTTCTTCAAATATCGATAAGAAATTGTTGCTTTTTATAAGCTAGCATTGTGATCAGATACACGTAAATATGGATATTTACCGTAGCAAGTGGTCAATAGATCAGGATAGGCCAAACCCCATGACCTGGTATGCCCAGGAGTATCGAATTCCGGCATCACTCGAATGCCCCTTAGCCTGGCGTATTCTACGATCTGCTGGATGTCATTCAGAGTGTACACCATGAATGGATGGAACGCCGTCCACGATATGCCAATGGAGAACGTTCATTTTATTGTAGGACATCGCATCCAGAGTGAGCAAAATATCTTGAATTGGTAAGTAATGACGGGACGTGTCCAATAGTAGTCCACGATGAGGTAATTTCGGCCTGTCCACGATAGTCTGACACCTTACTTTCAACTATGAAAGAAGAAATCGATAAAAATATATTACAAAAAGAAATATGTCTGGATATTTTTCTCTCTCAATTAACACGTCCTCTATCAAAACTATTTTAAGCAAACTTAAAGATTCAAACACCTTCTTCTGTTTTTGATTGTTTCTTTAAGTCATTTTTTTTATTATTTTGTACGACAATATTTATCTTTTTCAATTTACTTAGGACGCTTTGAAAAGTGGAGCGATATGGGGTCTAAAGAGCCATTCATTTGCGTACATATACGAGTGACATCTCTGCTATGAATACACAATAACTTTTAATTCCCTATTCTCCTTCCGTAATGTCAGTTTAAAATACTGTATATATGTATATATACTGCATAAATTTCTTTCCACTGCTGACATTTTTTAAACTTTTGAACTTTGAAAGAATAATTCGACACGGCCAATTGTATCGTTTGAAAGAGCATTGTAAATAATGAACTTCAGATGAAAAGCATTGTCCTAATCATTACCAGATTTCCTGTATTTTAATCACTTCATTATAATTTAATATTATTATTACATCGGTGCTATAGACACACACCAGTGAAATATTTCTTTTACTATTATATTTAGTTTTAAATAAATGTTATTCTTATCCTATTATTATCCTCTTCCACGTTATATTATTAATTCTTAAAAGTCATTACTTAAAACACAAAAAGTCTTGAAACTTGTTGCGGCGCTACAGTTATGCTCGACAGTATATGAGCGACATGGCAGAGACCGCGTTAATTCGTCGATTTCTTTTCCTCTTTATACACTTACATTGGAACCATCCCCAGCTGGAAACAAAAGCTGCGAGAAGGTCTCGAGACCCCGAAGAATCCCCCACACCGACTCAGCCACCAGATTCGCTACCGTGGAAGTCTCATTGATACTCAGAGTATCTGCAAAAGTTTAATTGCTTCTGGTTTAAATTTGTTCGAAGAAGAAGGAGCCGCTCTTTCAGCCTGTATTTGCAAAGGACCGGGTGATCTTCGAGATCTATTGTAGCAGTTAAATCTCCTCCGTATCTCCTGGTGTTAAGTGAACCCCGGAACTCCGTGAAATAACGCTTGTAGACCCCGTAGCGTAACGCTGGATTCCGTGGGAATGGAAAATGTCGCAAGTAGAAAAAAGTAAAGCGTGAAATAGGCTTAAAATCTCTTGGTATATATGCGAGAAGAATATGCGTGCGTATAATCTCGAGATGCTACTTGCTCTCTGTCCGGCTAATCACTCGGTTTGACCTCGAAGCCGAGTGCGATAAGTAAAGATGAGACGAAATCAGGCTTCATCGCGTTAAGCTTTGTCTCGATCGTCCCACTGACTCGATTACCCGTGTCGTTTGATACTTGTGAATGTGTCGCGAGCATTTCCTTTAGTGAGATTTCATTTCGTATTATGACCTGACGATTAAAATGAGGAAGCACAATGTTATCTGACCTGGCTAAGCTTCTTACCAACATGTCTCGATACATTAAGGGAAAGAAACGTCGGTTTGCATACATATCGCGATCTCGTCATACTTCCTCTACGAAGTGTACGATGTTTTGTCTTTCATTAATTACACGTTCTGTTACGAGACGAGGACTTACATGATTCTTTCATCTGCAAATGGGGCCAATGGTTGCCATCTTTCTCGCAAGATTCTCCCAAACGGATGTCCAAAGCACTGAGCGTGCCTCTTGCGGTGCCATTGTCTCTCGAGGATCGAGGAAGTCCTAGCGAATAGATCTTCGCTATTCGAGCTTCCGTCAGTATAATCGCCCCGTACCTTTCTATCGCATCCGTAACTATGTCACAAGTCTCACCAACTACCTGTGTATAATTAGAAATAAGCGTGTCACATATATTCGATATTTCGTCTTAATTCATTCAGGAATCCCCTGACCAAGTTTTTCCTGAACGGCACGTAAACAAAGTAAATGGTACACTGTCATTAAGATAACGATACAGGGAGTTATCTGTAGAAAACGCGGATGAGTGTATCTCACACTTGGAAACCGCAATTTCAAATAAAAATAAAAGGAAGCAGAATAATTAGTGTTGACTTGTAACACGATGCATGACGATGCAATTAATTTTTCTTTCTCCAGCTGTTTTTCAGGTATTTCCCCCGAGACCAGGAAATGCATAAAATTACTTCGGATAACGTCTGTTTCTACTATGCAAAGTGAGCCTAAAGTGAATGAAATTACGATAGATATCTATCATCGAAGCCTTAGAAATAAGAAACAAGAAAGACCTTAAACCCACAGAGCTGAATCCTCAAAGGCCTGACGAAACAACATCGAAGATCCTCCTTCGCACGAAACGCCAATTATTCCCACATGCCAGCTATCATCCTACACGATTACTCACGTTAAACTGGAAGGTCGAGGCTCTCAGGAGATAGAACGCGTTACCAACGCGTCTAAGATTTGGCAGAGGCCAAGGTTCACCATGTGTTGCTTGCACCCAGGATCCGGCATCCGGGTTCAAGCATTCTACCCATCGAACCGCCAAACCTAGGAACAGCAACGATCCAAGCAACGTGCACCTCATGTCCAATTGGTTCACGTTAGCGTCGCAGGTGTGCGTCGGTAGAAACGATGCGACGCCAGCGAGTGGTCATCGTCTACTGAACGCGGACGAACGACGCGTACGGGTATATAACGAGAGTGGTAACGACCTTAGGCTGCGCCACTTAACTTTCATCACTTCGCCTGGCGGCGTGCTCACGGTCAAGTGGGAACAACCAGTCCACGGATCGACCGTGTCCTTACAGCGATCCTCCTCCTCCAAGCGGTGCAACGACGCCGACAGGGCGTCGATCGAGCGTTGACACCTGCTGGAATTTTTACAGATGATCGCGTGGGTGGAGTGGTACGACCTGTAGGAATGTTTAAATGGCATACCTCGTCGGTTGTCCTCAGCTTCTTGGATTTCGAATAATTCGAATTAGCGTCAACCCTCTGTAACCTGGTTTTTCGATGTTCGCAAAAAGAAAAATTATGGTTGATTGGAATTTTCTCATTTCGATGGGAGAATAATTATCAGGAATAAAGGAATAAAATATATTAGGTGCAGAGATTGATTTGGTGCATTTTTTTCGTAAAATCTTGACTTCTTGGACTCAAAACTGTTATGTGTTAAAAATGATCATGAGACGAGAATTAGAATTGTGTTTGATTTTTTGTAAAAAACATTTAAGTTCGCAAGGGAAGACGTCGAATTAATTTGTACTGCTGTTAGATAAATGGAGACGTAACTGCCAAGTCACGTGGCATTAGAGAGGGTTAATGCTTTGTCAATCCGATTGAATAGATCTAATATTTTCTACCGTGTCATTCTTAGCGAGTGTTTCATTCAGATATACTATTCTAAAAGCATTTGTTCCATATCGAACTATTGTTCAATTTTACAGTTTTCGTTAATTTTTATAGAAATTTGTTTAGCAATTGTTGGTAGTTAATATGTTAAGTACGATTGAAAGATGTGTTATTGAATTTTAATTAAATTGTATTAATGAAAGGATTTTTTATTTGAGCCTCTAATCAAGTTAATATAATGAAATTATTAATAAAAAATCAATATAATAATTGCCTTATTGGATAAAATTTTTATACAAAGGTACAATATATAAAATTAAAGTTGGTTAAAGTAATACCAAAATTCCTACTAATTTATCGAGAATAGTTCGTAAAATAAAATAAGCAAGTAAAGAATATGATTCTAGTTTAGTACGAGTTAGTATTCTCATTCAATTTGCAATTTAAATGAGTTTCAATGATTCTGAAATGACTAAAATATCCAGAATTTTTAAAGTAAGGAATGTAAAAACGATTGATTTTGTTGCTAAACTAAAAGAAGCTTCGCACTGAAATTTTCGTTGCTTCAAAGAATGGAAGAAAAGGGGAACAATTAGCATAAAACTTAATGACACTTTCACCCTACTTGCAGAAGCTTCGTATAAGAACAGGCCAACTTAATTACCTTTTCTAACCATTGTAGTACGAAAAATTTTCCATACGTAATTTAAATGGTTTCAAAGGGTGAATAAGATGGAAGAAAAATTTTTTCTACGTTTTTCAAGATCACCTACATTGTTTTACGCAAATGTATGCTTTTTCTACTGTATGTTGCATAATAATATAATCTTGAACCTTGGAATCCTCCTTTCATCTTTTGCCATATCTTCCATCCTATTCACCCCTTGAAACCATTTAAATTACGTATAAACATTTTCGTACGAAAATAATTAGTTGGCTGGTTTTACTTATTTAATTATTTATCAATGTCAACATTTTATCTGAGATTAATTTCATGTCTATGTTAATCTTTCCATATATTAATTACACAATACTCGTGATAACGATGTCAACGATCGTTTATCCACCATTGTCATCGATAATGCGCCGTTATCGTGACCATGAAGATTCATAAGCATCTGTCAAAGTTGAAAGCATATCTTCACGATACCGGCATACATTTCGAACTGCGTTGCAGTGAAAAAGCGGAACACGAGAATTCTCGAACGGTGTAACATCGAAAGCATTCGAACATTTACATGGTATGATGGACACGTCTACTGTGAATAGTAGACGTCGTCTATCGTGTCTAAATTAATTGGGGAATGAAGTTCAGTCGAGCGTGATCCACTCGAGATATCGTCGGCCAATATCAGAGCGTCGAGGCATCGAAGTGCAAAGGTCGACGATCGCTCCACCTCACGATACCGATGGATCATCGCGATTACTCTTCGAATGACGCGAGACATTACGCTTTTCCTCTCTCTCTCTCTTCATTTCTCCCCTCTATAAAATGTAAACAGAAGCGCGAGGATCATCGCTCGTCGGTGTCGAATAAACAATTCGAAACTGGTGAAAACTAACTTTACCAATGACGCGAAAAATTAAAGCCACTCGACGACATCGAAACTCTGCGCAACAATGTTTTCCGTTCCGCCGACCGAAAGATTCTCCGCGCTTTTGCATATTCAGATTGTAACGAGGGAGTTCCTGTTATTTGAACAGAAACGGAGAAGACCCTTTGAAAGGATAAGTCATCGAGTCAACAGAGAAACCGGCGAGAGGGTGTAGAAAGGGCGAATTCGAAGGTGGCGAAGACCACCCTCCGGAGATTAGGGCAAAGCGCGGAGGAATGAAAAACGGGGGTGGCTCTTTCACCGACGTCTGTGTTATCAAAGAAGCCGCTGGCCGATCGTAAAACACGGGCTTGCGCATTTCCTTCGTCTTCCACCGGCGACGGCAACGATTTCCAACTTTTCCAACGTGGGCAGCGGCGGTGTTCTAATACGAATTCCACCGTAACCTCCGATATCACGCGAATCAATAAAAACTTCGCGATAACATGGAGTCGATAGAATTTTTCTAACACCAGAAAGAAAAACGTAAATCTTCGTACTTGTACATTTTCAAATCGAATCTTCTACTTCGTTCATTTTCGCCCATTTTTCATTCCTTACTTTTTCCCGAACGAATGAATTTTCTTTGCTTGGATTAATTTCTCGGGGATACATTTCTTTGTTCCACGGAGTATTAACGATGTGCTCGATGCAAAAAATGATAATTTACGACGCGTCTGGCTTTACGGAGAAGGAATCACTGGGGCCACAGGATGGTACGGCACTGCCCGGTGAATCGTAGCTTCATTGATTGCGATGTCGTACGCCGGGTCGACGGACGCCAGAGGGGTGAGACGAGGGGCTGCGAAGTGGAACGTGCATCCAGGAGCGTCTCTTGTAGACCAAACGCCACGTCGACAGGTTTTTATCGAAATTTTCGAACGTCACTGGTTCAAAAATGTATCCTTACTTCTAGAAACGTGTCCTCGATACGTCGAAACTCTCGAAAAAGTGAGTCGGATGGAAAAGAGAATGGAAATTACACGAGATAAATTTGATATTTTTGGATATACTTTTGGTTTGACGAAAAATATATCGAACTAACGACAGAAAATTAGTTCTACCAGAGAGAAGAACGAATATCGATGTTCATTTTTGCAGAGGGGTGCCCAGGGTGGTACACCGCTACTCTCGATCCGTTGCTGCGTTTGTCAGCCTTTGACTCTTCATTCACGAACCATTGACAATCGCAACGAGAGACGAATTCGTGGCGGTTCTCATCGTTTTTACGAACGATACGCGACACGCCGATCAACCGTTGCAACAACTGTCCCCGTTTATCTTCCCGCATTATTCAACGGCGATAAATCCACCGTCAAATTTTTCATTCCGCCATTTTCCATCGGATCCGGCAGCTTCCCCTGTCGTATGAATTATTGAAACAGCGATTCAACCTACGTAAAAGAAAAAACCCGTCCATTCTCAGGGAAGAATAGAAGAAACAGTTTCCTCTAGCAAGAAGAAGAAAAAAACAACGAAGAATTTACAATTAACCTTTTTCAATTGACACAACGCTTTGAAAGGACCGAAGAAAAAGAAGGATCAAAATCCCCCCACGGTGGTATTCCTATTAGAAATGTGTTACGATGACCGTTCGAACGGACAATCGAACCCCTCCCAAAAGAAAACGCCACGGAAACAAAACGAGAAACCCCTCTTTAAAAAGCGCGAGGAAAAAATAAAAGGAACCCACGCAAAATCTGGCCGTTGGAAATTCCCGGCGTACAAAGTTTTCCCA